CCACGCCAGGGGTTTGCGCGCCCGTGAAGCTACATCCAGCAGGACACGGATGCAAAGAGCAAGCATCTAGGAACCTGCTGAGTTTCCCCTTGGAGCAAGGAGAAGAAATGCCTCATACAAGGGACTGCAGAGGTAAATGAGCAGAATTAGTCTATATCCCATAGACTCCAAACCTCTTGCATCCCACCACCTCTCTCTCTCTCTCTCTCACACACACACACACACACACAGACAGACAGACAGAACACCTCAAAGCTGTTCCTGGTTTTTGGTCACCTTCCCGGTGTGCTCCAGACTCTGGAGTCTTTGCTATTCTTTCTACACCAATTGTCCTGGTAACATGTACTTTGCTTGATCGCTGTGCGGCTGGTCCCATATGGAGGACATCTGGATTGTGATCACCATCAGGAAGTGCCTGGCTCGCTGAAGGAAGAGTTATACCATCACACAAGAAGGTCACTCACACTCTGTGCTGTCAGGCACCTACTGCTTTTGAGAGCCACTCACAAAACTCCCCTGGAGTGGTCAGAGCCATCTTCTCCCTGGAATTTCTGATCTGCATCTGCCTTGGGAAGTTAAGAGACTAAGTCTGGGATTCCAACCAAAGTCTTTCTCACATGGTGGCACACTTCAGTTCCCTCTGTGCCCAGGTGGAATATCATGCACAGAGCATCTGCCATCATTAATTCTCAAGAGTGCAAACAACACGTGAAAGGGCCCCTCCCACCCCCACAATGCAAAGCAAAGGCCTTCTGGAGTTTAAGCTTTCAACTGTTCCCAGGGGAGATTTTTAGTGCAAAGCAATGTGCCAGCCAAAACCAACCCAATTGTACTTGGTTTTGATCTTTACCAGGAATTACTAGCTCCCCTCTGGGAGAAAATCCACCAAGTGAATTTTGTTTCCAGTCAGCTCTGACTTACTCCACCCCACTAGGACATCCAGAACATTTCATACAGCGGCTGTTTAAAGCACAGCGATCTGTGATCTTTCTTTGAAAAGAAAGAATTCCAGTTGAATGATACCCAGAGATGGGCCAAACCAGAACACAGATTCTAGCACCCCCAAACTTCAGAGAGATATAAAATCAGAACAAGGACCCATATTTTGCAAATGGCCCCCATAGGATTATGATAAAAAATTAGTAAATTAACCTACCAATACCTAAATAGCTATACATCATCTTACAATAGAATGCTCTAATAACCAGCCATAGAAGCCAGGTACAGAGGCTTTTCCAGCACATATTGGATTTTGATGCCTTTAGGCACCAGCATTTTGGCTTGATACACAACCCATTTCTCAGTCCGTCTTGTCCCAACAAACGCCACAATTTAAAAGAGAATGTCATGGAACATTGCAATGGGAGTAACGGTTCTGGAAAGCAGCTGGTATTACACATAGCTCATTCAGTATCTGCTAAGACAGGGACATACTGGCCGCCACTTCCCGCAGTTCCCATTGGCCTGGAGCAGCGAACCACAGCCAGTGGGAGCCGCGATCGGCCAGATCTGCGGACGCGGCAGGTAAACAAACTGGCCCGGCCCGCCAGGGGCTTTCCCTACACAAGCGGCATCCCAAGTTTGGGAAACACTGTGCTAAGGGATCCTTTGTGATCTACTGGTGCAAGCACACCCCAAACCTGTGTGTTTTAACTCAGCAAACAGCACAGATATTCTGCTGTCGTTTAGGGGGAGGTGTGAAGATGCCTCTGGGATCAGATCTCAGATATCCTGGGGACACACAGATGTATTCAGGTTTGCAGTCCAGGTCACAGCGACCCTGGATCAAAACCCTGTTTAGAATCCCATCTGATGGCATAGAATGGGAAAGGGATGTTACCAAAATCCTCTGGCAAGCGATTAGGTGGGAGCTCTGTCTTTAGAAGTCTCAGGCCTTGGCACAAGGATTCCTATGAGGCCTTGCGTCAGAGATGCCCCGTGATTATCAGACACAAGCTGTGGATAATTAGAAGAACTGCCTGATTCAGGATTCAAGTAAGATGAACCTGACAATGTCTCTCCACATTCTTGATGGGGGTAACAAGATGCAGTGACCTCAGAAGACACATTTTCATGAATGTCCTGGGGTCAGTTGCACCTTCATACTTTGTTGCACATCTATTGTGTGTGCAGAGTGCATGTGCAACTGTAATCATTTTGGCAGGGCAAACATCTGCGCTTGCTAAGTTTGTGGGCATGGTTTAGCAGCTTAATCAAAAATTACTCCCTAGAAACTGCAGCTGTTTACAATCCAGCAAGCACCATTTACTAGAACATATTACCTCCCAATCACTCACCTTGATTGAAGGGTCCCCAAGGGTTTTCACTAGAAAGTCCTTTTTTCCTGGGATTAATAATCTCCACCACTTCAGTTCCCATTAGGCAGAAGCTTGGCCCACAGGCTGCCACTAATCAAAGACACAACAATCATTTACAATCATCTCAGGATGTTTCACATTTAGAAATCTGCCTCAAACGGCACCAACTTCTGGGATGAACAGTCCTCTCCTACCTCCAGTTTATACCCCACCAATGTCTTCAATCATTAATTATTTTTATTAATAAATATACACGTAAGTTAATGCCCAGCAGCTCCAGTGAAATCTGGTTCTCCATCATGCCACGTGCTGTACAAACACAGCTAACAAGACAGCCCTTGCCCCAGAGAGCTTTGGCAAATACAAGTTAACCTGTGAAATGGACTTAAGTGCATTCAGGGCCCAATCCAAGTTCCATTTCGATCAGTGGAAAGACTCCCCGTTGATTTCAGTGGGAGCTTGATCAGGCCCCTTGCATTTTGCAAATAACAATTGGTTTGCAACAGTCCAATCATAATGTAGATTAGCAATGATTTACCTACCTTTATTTTCCTAAATACCGTTGCTCAGCGACTGGCTTGAAAAGTACCCTGCACACTGTCTGGCCTGAGCCAGCAAAGATGTCCCTGCGGATTTTGATTCACGAGTTAAACCTACAAAGATTCAACCACACTGCTGTCTCCTGCTGCATCTGTTCGCGATGTACGAACAACTGCGGCAAGTCAGTATTTATATTCTGACATATTTATGCATTTCATACTTCTGCAGTAAGCGATTAGGCAAAGCAGTCCTAATGCTGGAAAGAGCTCACCAGTTGAACCGTGCTTGTGTGGGATGATCAGCTGCTGGCATGAATCTGCTTGGATTTTGTTACCTGCTGCAATATAGACATCAATATGAAGGGATTACACTGTAAGAACATGAGCGGGGTTCAGCTTTCTCTAAGTGACCCAAGCACATGCCCAGCGTGTTTGGATGAGCAGATCAAATAAAAGATCCATTAGACGGCAAAGCAGTCCAGGCCCACGTTCCTGGAGGCTGAAATCAAGGACACATTTTCAAGCTCGGAGTAGGTTAGAGAAACCTGATGCCATCTGCAATGGCCCTCAGCCTGAGCGTACCAACTGGACTAAACATTTTCATTAGATGTCAGCCTTAAGTACAGTTTTGTGGGATGCTGGGTTTTCTGCAGTAACTCATCAGCAAAATGCTTACCAGAGGCTCATAAACAGCGATTGAAGCTTCGTGGAATATATGCTGCTTCTGCAGTAGATCCTGTAGTTGCCTCTCCTCTCAAAAACACTAATGGTTTTAGCTTCTTAAAGAGTTGATCTGCTCCTGCTGCTTGTCCCTTGCCTGAGGCAAAGTAACCCTGTGTTTCATTTTGGCTTTTTACATCCTGATAAGTATTTGAGGCCTGACTCAAAGCACGCTGAAATCAGTGGGAGTCCTTTGGCCACAGTTGTCCTCGGAACAGGCCCTTTGACAACGACAAACTCCAGTGACAAAAGCAAGGCATTAGGTGGCTTCAAACAGGGATAAAAGCAGCAAAACCAGATGAACTCTTGAGAAACTAAGATCCCGTCTGAGGGCAAGTGGGCAGAACATGAACACCTTGTGCTTTGACAGGCCTTTCTATCCAAGGAGTTCCAAAGTACTTTCAAAACCTGCATGACCTAAGCCTCACAATGTCCCAGGCATAGGCATCGACTCTGTGGGTGCTCTGGGGGGGGTGCTCAGCACCCGCAGGGCCGGATTAATTTTATGTGAGCCCTGGCACCCAAACCGTGGCCCCGCCCACCACTGCACCCCGCTCAGCCTCTTCCCTCCCTCCTGCCCGTGCTCCACCCTGAGGCTCCACCCCTGCTCCTTCTCTTCCCCCTGAGGTCCCGCCCACCACTTGCACAGGGGTGGAGGGGTGGAGAGGAGCACCCACCAGCAAAAATAAAAGTCAGCGCCTGTGGTCCCAGGGAAACAGGAAAGTATCTTTCATCTCATTTTACAGCTGGCGTGTAGCAGTTCAGGGCCTGTTCCTGCTCCCTCAGAGTTCAATGGGAGTTTTGCTATAGAGTCTGATCACAGCAGGGTAGCAAGAAGGTCTTTCAGGAAGTCTTTGGCAGAGCAAGAATAGAAGCCAATTCCCAGCTCACGCCTTAACCTCCAGACTGTTCTCCCTCCAAAAGAAAGGCAGAAAATAGACCCCAACAGCAGATTTCAAAAACAACCCAGACAAAACAGCTTGCAAAGATTCCCATCAGGCACTACTAAAAATAATATTTCCTGCGTATACGCATTATTGCCAACTCCAAGCATCCAACATCACACGTCAGGCCCCAAAAGCATGAGATTGGCTTAAAAATAATATTTGGGGTGGTTTTTAATTTGCCTTTGGGTTGTGAAGCCCCTAGAGGGTCTTGGTTTTCCAGCTTTTCTCTGCAACCATGAGGGCCAGAAATTTCTTTTTTAAATGACAGCTGGCATTCTCACCTCTTTACATACATGATTATAGGAGTTGGGGCATTAAGAAAAACACCAACTGTTGCGAAACGTGGCATCACCACCATGTTTCGTATCCTAAGCACTTTGCAAACCTTAGCCAATCATAGAAATGTCGTGCTGGAAGGGACCTTGAGAGCTCATGTAGTCCATGCCCCTATGCTGATGCAGGATTAAGAACCATCCCTGACAGCTGTTTGTCTAACCTGCTCTTAAAAACCTCTAATGACAGGGATTCCACCACCTGCCTAGGTAACTTGTTCTGGTGCTTAACCGCCCCAGAGTCAGAAAGTTTTTCTAATACCTAACCTGAAGCTCTGTTACTGCAACCTAAGCCAGTTACTTATTGTCCTACCCTCAGTGGACATGGAGAACAGTAGATCACCGTCCTCTTTATAACAACCCTTTACATATTTGAAGACTTATGTCCCCCCCTCAGCCTTCTCTTCTCCACTCTAAACAGGCCCAACCTTTCCTCCAAACACTTCAATAAGGCAAGCAAGAATACACTTTACTTTATAGACAAGGAAAGAGATTAAGGCCCCTGCAATGAGCTCTGTCCAGGGGGAACTCTGTGCATGCAGAGTCATTGCAGGATCAGGGCCTCAGTGAGATGGTTCAAGGTCACAAAGGGAGTCATGGCTGGAATTAGAAGGAATTCCTGGTCCTGTACTCAGATCACCCGTCTCTCGTTAAAGCGACTGGCCCAAACAATGGACCTGTCCACCAGAACTATCTGTTTGCAAAGTCCATGTAATTTTGTTCACGTGTGTTTATTTTTTTGCTGCCCGACTCTTGTGAGCAACCCTACACTAACAAAGCAGGGTGTGATAGAGATCAAACCAAAACAACATAGAAAGAAACGAGATTTCAGTTACAAACGTCCCGTTTTTAACCCCTCCCCACCCAAAAAAAAAAGGTTTTTCAAAAGATGAAGATTCCGTTGGCCACATCCTTTAAAGTGAAATAAACATCTTTGTAAGTCCCGGGGATACGGGAGCAGAAGATGGCAGCTCCGATTTCCACACCTGCTGCCCCCTACAGAAAAGTTTAACAAGAATGTTTATCTGGAGAAAGAAAAATGAAAAGCTAATGGATAACCAGACACGCACTGGGGATTGAGAGAGATCCTGGCATGTCTCATTAAACCTGGAGATACTTTTTTCCTTTCAGTGCTAAATCCCACTGCTGGAGCTCTCCCCGGTGTCTTTCTGGGGCTTGGCAGTGTTTGGATTGCTTTGAAATGTAAGGTTCCCCCTTTTGTTTGTTTTCCAAATGGTTAGAGAGCTTTCCCAAAACACAAGCTCCTGCTCTTTGTTTCCTTCTGCTTCATTAGCTGTGTCTCTAATTAGCAACAGGCTCCCTTGGGCTTCCCTGAAAGCAAAGCCACTCCATGTCAGCAGAAAGCCATCCAGGGACTTGTCAGAGCTCAGAAAGGATGCCAGCTGGTCACTGCACTCCAAGCACTCGTGGTGCTAACACTGCCAGGAAGATAGGGGGATCTATTTATCCACCTGATTCCCTCTAGTCCAGCCAAACAGGCTCCATCCTTATTTTAGAGAGAGGCTCAAGTTGGACTAGAACCCAGGAGTCCTGCTCCAATCACTAGACGACATCTCTGCCCAGTATTCTGCTGTAATGGCCCAAAACACAACAGGCCAAATTCCCCTCCGTTAGTTACATTAGCGTGACCCTACTCATGCCAATGGGTAACCGAGAGGGACACGTGGCCCTTCAGCTCGCCGGAGCATTGCTGGAGCACTAGGGGCTGCTGCTGGAGGAGGTTGTTGTTGCGGCTTCTTTCAGTCAGTCTTGCAGCAGCTTTTCCTAGGAGCGAGCTGCGAGCTCAGCAGCTGGGGGCTCTCACTGAGGCAGAAAGCCCTTGAACATGCCATGCTGGTGTCAGGCACCACTGTGTGAGAAAGGGGAAGGGCACAGACTGAGCCCAGGGGGGCACTAAGGTTGTTTTCCTCCTTCACACCCTCCCACCAGCTTCCATCAGCAGGTCCCTAAAGAGAGGGAGTTTATTTAATTCCCTGCGGAGGCCAGATCCTGTTGCTGCCACAATAACTGATGGGCAAGCCCAGGACAGACAGGAGGATGCTCTCTGTCTCCCTGTCTCTTTATCCTGGCCCCCAGGGTCCCTCCGTCTCCAGTTTCTCTCACTGAGCCCGCAGCCAGGGCACATGCTAGCACAGAGCTCTCATCCAGGCAACGCAGGGCCCCTCGCTGTTATTACATTAGCGGCGCCATTAACAGCAAACGTGGCTTACGCTCAGCGGTGCGAGGCTGGGCGCACAGCTCCCTGAGCAGGGATGTAGCGCCAAGAAAACCCTTACAGACAGACAGACAAACTTAAGGGCCCACAGCACTACCCAAAACTGGAGACACTAGCAGTAGCATGGGGGGTGGGATTTGTAAGAGCCCAGTTATTTATCAGTCTTCTCATGAAAGCCGCCATCCTTCCTACATGGGAGATGGGCCTGGCCATCCCCAAGCTTTATGGCACAGGCCCATCTCAGACATGCTCCTCCTCTCTCATCTCTAAGGCCCAGATTGAAACCAATGGGAATTAGGCCCCTAAATATGTTTATGGCTCTGGGCCTGGGACCGATGTTGCTTAGCTCCCAGCTATTGGCCCATTTAAAGCCCCCATTCTAATTATAATCCTTCCCCCCATTTCCCAGCCCCACTCCTCATCCTTTTCCTCTGCTGGAATTTCTGATTCCAGCCAAAAACAGGAGTGTCCAATAGCACAGGTAAGGCCTCTGCTTGTGGTGTTTCCACCTTGACCAGATGCAGGAAGCAATGGCAATGCCAGGAGAAAGCCTGAGATGTCTGCCCAAGCGAGTCGCTTCCAGCAGCTCTGCTAACATGCAGGTAAGCACCCAGATTGAACCATAACTTCAAACCCTTCCACCCACCTCGACTAAGACAGGAAGCATTATTGCTGCCCAGGGGCCAGGGCCAACTCCCTGCACCACACTCTCTCAGCTCAGCCTCCATCACCTTTCAGCCATAGTGTTCTCCCCACCCTCACTGGCTCCTGTGTGCTAGTCTCATGCTTTTGCCACTGCTATCCTCTCCAGCAGCCGGGCTCCCTCTGCCTCCAGCTACTGGCCCTGCTGCAGCTAGGAACCAGATGCACAAAAGCTGATGGCATCAGCCTACATGCCCCCGCCCCCACTACCCTGGCATTGGTA